TCTGTGTGTCTAAAAAGCCAATCCTAATCAAACAAAACCACAACATGAATTTAATCCACAGATAACCTAGTCACATGCACTTATGTGTGAAATCTGCATTTGGTTTTATACTTAATTATAAAATACAGAAACTCCATTATCCATCAGTGGTTTTATATTCTTTACTGCCTAAATGCTCATTATCTACCTCTTCCAAATGTTTATTTAGGCTGATACTTTGCAACAATTTAAGATTTATGTTATGCTGGCATCTCCAAATGAATTGTAATTAAGTGGTACATAGTGTCCAGACAAATTAGTACAGCCTCAAAACATCTCTAACTAGCAAAGTAGGAGCAACTTTAGCCACCAACTTGATGGTGAGACAACAGTCTACCAAGAATTCTTTACTTGTAATTGGTTTTGATATATTTTTTAATCGAGTTAATTTGTTTTTGAAAAATACATAAACATGATACTAAAGGACATTTTCAAAGATTCTTCCACTAAAAATGTTGTATGAATAATGTGGAAAATTCCAGGCACCCAAAGGGTGGCCACAATTTTCTAAATTAATTCTGGAAAATGTTAAATCTGGAAATGTTATATGCTTATTAAAAATCACATGGAATATTTAGTAACATGATTATTAATGCCCGTTTTTTTTCCTTCAGTTCAGTTCATAACTAACTTTTAATCACTGTATTTACAGCTATGTACTTACAGAATAACTAATATTCTAAGCAGACATAAACATCAGAGAACAAAGTAGTATCGCTCATCTACTTGGCTTGGTGAGTTCTCTGTTATATTATTTACCTACACATAAAATAACTGGAGAGAACAACACTCTTATAGCTTATTATTCTGCTTTAAAAAAAAGACTGAAAGATAATCTAGAAACAAATAGAAAATTCTACACAAGATCCTCTACCTACAAAATTCAGTGTTTCTTTCCTGAAGTCCTGAGCTGTCCATATGCACATACTGTTGCTTCTGAATTAGAGGCTGATTACATTTAAAATCATTCTGTAGGAGAAAAATGACATTTTATGATGTTGAATTATAAAGTATAAACTGAGGGTATATATAAAAGTTCTCTAGAGTAGGTTGTCAATGTTTATATATTTTGGCAAATTTATTAATATAAAAATCCAGCACTAATCAAAGAACAAGGGGCACAGCGTGAATGCACAGCGGGTGTGGGAAGAGCATTTAGAAGGAGGGCTGTAAGTGGGACTGACCTGCTCAAGACTTCCTGAACTGAGGAAACATGGGTGTGTGCCGACCATCCCCTCCCTCCCTTGCAACTCGATTTCAGCCCCCATCCACTCCCCACCATCAGTGAAGATTTTTTGTATCCCACCATTCCATGTAAACATGATGCCAAGAAGGGGAGAAACACTAGCTATGCTAAGACTGGCAATTCATGATAATTTTGAAATCAACCATAAAATTGTGAAAAAGAATTAAGTATTTTCACATGATACACAACTCTATACTCCCTGTTACATAAACTCAAATCCATCTCTACATTACCAAAAATTTAATATTTAACTCCTTAAAGTAAGAATCAAAATCAAAATACGTAGACAGCTCAGTTCTATAATTTCATAAGTATCCAATTTATACTTAAAATGTAATTTTAAACTTATATTTAAAACAAAAAAATTCCCTGCAGTAAAAAATAAATATTACTTTACCATATCCAAAATTATTATTTAGTCTCATAAACAGAAGCTTTAGGAGGAATGCAACATCAAAAAAATCTAAAAATCACGTAGGGTAGAAAAGTGAAAGAAAATCCAGAGTGTGCAGGAAATCTGAAAGTGTGGCCTATGAACAAAACAGTGAGTACAGATAAACATGCAAAAATGTCATGAAAAGCTGCTACTGCCATTCAGGCAGACTTCCATTCTACTTTTATCCATGATTATATTTCAATTATGTTCAACTGATTTATTTCACCACATAGTACTAACATAAATCATTTATGAAAACTCATTTTAATTAAAACAAACAAAATGCTAAAAGGAAACAAAATCAACTCTGTTTTCATGTTTGTATTTGGTGTGAAAATAAACAATTCCAAGAGAATTTTGTAAGATTCAATCAATAAACATCTTTAGGACACCAGTGCCATATTTTCAAGGGCGGGGGGAAAGCGTCTACTTTAGGCAAGTAGAAAGGCAGTCTCCACCAGCATGATTTGATGAAGACAAATTAGATACCTGCATAAAGACATGGATTCAAAATCCTTTTTACATTTGGGGATGTACTTTGCAGAAGATTTACTTTCCGAATTGCATTCTATTCGATCTCATGTTAATCTGACATTTAAATAAATTGCTTTACTTGAGCAATTTTCATTCTCTGGCACAAAGAGACATGGAAATGTATATGTCAAAACAAACATGTCACAACAGAATTTTTCTTCATATGAAAATATTCTTAAAAAGAAAGCATAGGAAACTACTGACATTAAGCTTCTCCATCAAGGGAGATTTATCATAATTAAAACAAAGTTAAAAGAGCCTAGCACATAATTAGAAAGGTGGAAAAAGGATATTCTCTCATCAGCTAGTCAGTGATAGAGAGCAAAGAAACCAGTTTCTGGCTATAAAGACATTTACTTTCTCTTCTGTAATCATACACTGAAAAATGTACCAAGAAACTAAATCAAGTTCCTAAATTCAAGGAAAATATTCCAATTGCAAATGTGTCATCTTCAATGCATGATCATTTAGACAAGAAAAATTCTCAACCACAAAACTTTCTCCACTAGCAAAGAAAAAAGGTTAACATCTTATCTCATACCCATCTTTTCTTCCACATCAGAAATACACATTTTAAAAAAAGCTAAACCCAACAATAAATCCTTCATGAGAAAGAACTATTAAAATGAATTTTTCTTATTAACAGAACAGGATTTATATTTCAGCAACCTTAATTTCAACAAAAAGGGAAAATAAAATTGTGTTTCACAGAAGGCAAATATAAGTTTGCTGGCTGCAACAGCCTCAAACTCTACCAAATGCCAATATTCTTTAAACTAATTTCAAGAAAGGCATAAACCAAGAGATACAAAATTACTAAATAATTCATTTGTGTTGAAAATGTGGCCCATGGTAAAATGAAACGAGAGAAATCGAGTCAAGTATTCTGTTTTTACTGACAGCCTTGAAAAGCTTTTTTCTCCTGCAAAAGAGATAAAAACCATTTCTGAGTGCCCTCTGCTTTGATCCCTTTCTTCTTGCACTGAGTATATGAAAACATGTAAAAACACTTTCAGTCCATGAAGTATGGCTAGCACTAGCTCTGAAATCTATCCAAGTTCATCTACTACTTGTTATCTCAACTTTCAGTGTTCTAATCCAAGCCACTAGCCATCTCTTCTCTCAACCACAATGAGAACCTACTAAAATGGTCCTTTGCTTTCACACTTACCCGTGTACAATCCATTCACCAGAGAGTAGCCTCAGAGATCTTTTTAAAACATGTATCAAATCTTCTTATTCTCCCATTTTAAAATCTTTCAATGGCTTTCAGCTCATTTTGTAAAAGGAAGAGTCAAATGGTGGCCCTCAAGACCCTACATCATCGGTTCCCTGACAATCTCTCCTTGCGCATCTTGTTCCATGCTGGCCCTCATACCACCCTCAAATTAGAGTCTCTCAAGCCAGGTGCTATCGACATATTGGGCAGGACACTTCTTTGTGGTGGGGGGCTGTCCATGCACTGCACGATGTTTAGCAGCATCCCTGGCCTCTACCCACTTGTACCAGTAGCACCAGCACCCCCCACGGTCTCTGGACAACCAAATATGTCCCCAGACATTGCTTTTAAAGAAGCCGAGCTTCATGGCCCTTCCCCTCTCATGCCCTTTACCTGAAATGCTTACCCCTAATACCTGGGTTGTATGGCTAGCTCCTTATCATTAGTGTCAGCTGTTTTGGCCTACTCAGAGAGGCCTTCTCTACTCATCCTATGTGAAGCTGCACCTACTTCCATCAGATCTACAGCCCAGCATTTCACACAGGGTACAAAGTGCTCAAAAGGTGGTTATTGAAAGAATGCATAAATGTCAGTATTTATGAACAAAAGTGCTTAAGTGGCAACATCATAATATTTCATATATGATGCCACAGCAGCACTCCTGGATAGTTCCCTATACCATACTGCCTGCATCTTTCAAACGCACGCCTTCCAAGGCACCATTATTTCTTTCCTTTGGAAGTACTGGTGGTGTTATTGTCAGTTACAAGGAATGTGTGTATTTATTCACTGCGCCTTAACAAAACAGCCCAACCCCAAAGCATCCTTCCAAATGGTGAAGAATAGAGAGGTATGTGAACTGTTCAGTAGAGCACTGGAAGCACTCAACAACCAACCCACAGTGAAAAATAGCCACAGCAAAGGGAATTCTGGTTTGTTCCATCACGGACACAAAAGGCTCACCGTTACATCTAAACAGTCACTCTTCAATTTATCTTGTTTTAAGTCCGTACAAAAAGTCAATATAATTTTTATTCAAAAAATAAAAACAAATGAGAGAAAAACATGACCTCTGTTACTTCAAAGGCAAAAGGCTATAATGAATGAAATGTGAGAGCTGAATGTTAGTTGATCAATCAGTTTTTAGTGTTTTCACATGAACCGGTAAAAAACTGTTCAGGTTAACAATATGCTGAATAGTTAAACCATGTAAAATTGTAAAGCCTCTGATCAATAATCCGACTGGATTCCATTCAACTCCAAAAAAGACGATTCCCTTAAGCCACAAATGTCCTTTTAGTTACTTCTGGAATTGTTTTTGATATGAGTACTTTGAATATACATTTTTTGAGAACATCAATGCAGTTGGTAACACTGCTCTCGATTACTATATTTCTAGATATTTCATCAAAATTGGTGATTTAAAAAACTATCATTCATCAGTGCATTTATCAGAGAACTTTTGGAAGGGGCAAGTGAGAGCTTGCAGATCAGTGTGGGAGAGGAAAGAAAAAGCCAGCACATACCAGTTGTGCACCATGAGTTTCTGCACAGCCAGAAGAGCATTGTAGCGAACCTGCTGGTCCTCGTGGTGCATGTGGTTCATGACCAGCTGCTTCCCACCAAGCTGTTCAATGACCCTGTGGAACAGAAGCCACTTTGTGAAGATGCTGCAATTCCTTGCTAACTCACGCTGTTAGTCAGCAGAGAGCCCATATACCAAAGTGCCAAGGGGTTTTAAAGAGAAAAGTTACAATATAGGTGAGTAAACCAACACATGTCTTTTTTTATATCATTTTTCCTGAATCATAGATTTAACATATTCAAGTATTTTCTCTTTTGAATTCCTACTGGGGAATCCAGCTGCTATTCTCATTTCCTGATCCAGGCAAGTATCATCTACCTGGATACCTCACAGACTGTTGTAGTACTCTAGAGTACAGTTTTCTAAGTTGTTGAGTATTAAAACTTTATTACCAGTATTTCTGGCTTGCTTAAAAGCAATATACTGAACACCACCTAATGTCTGTAACAATATCAGATCGGTATTAAATCTACCAGTTGCCGTGCTGTGAGCAAGGCTCAGATACAGACAGCAGGGAACATGGTTAAAAACACCTAGTAGAAGTCATGTTAACTTCCTGAAAAAGACGATTTGTAAGATACCTGCCCTTCGTCATAATGATGCAATATGCCACATGACCTCCTGGCCAGTGAAACAGAGGAGAAAATTCCTACTGTCAAGAGCACCAAGATGACTGACAACTGACACTTCTATCACTGTGTCCCCTAACGCCCTGAAAAATCCAGTTGTTATAGATGCGAAAGCGAAGCAAAACTACTGATTTGCTTCATGAATAGAAAGAGGTTCTCTGTTCCCTTGCAAGGGTGTGGCTGTGGCTAGAGCTGTGGAGGCTCTTAACTCCGGCCCAACAGTGTGGAGTCTCCAGGCCACACCGTCTGGTGAGCACCACCACTCCCGCCACATGGTCAGCGATAACGCAGTAGGGCCTTTGGCGGTTGCAGACGGTCTCGAGGATGGGTGGATGGGGGTCAAGAGCGAGAGAGAGGCTTTTATCTGTATACCTTTTTACACTTTATTTTTTTATTTGTTTAATTTAATTTTATTTTATTATGTTATGTTAGTCACCATACAAATACATCATTAGTTTTTGATGATACTTAATTTTTAAAGCATCTTTTTTAAAAAAAAATGTATTGGATTGAGGGGGAGAAGTACAGTATAATTATAACCAAACATCAGTTGAGTGCCTGTCATGTGCCAGGTACTATGCTTTAAAACATTATTTTAACACCAGCTCTGCTCTTTATCGGATAGGTTACATTAAGTCATTTAACCTAGTAAATTCCTTCCTGGCAAATGAGGGGAACAAGGACACCTTCTTTATGGCATTGCCGTGAAGACCAAAGGCCATAAAACCCAGGTCCCTACAATACGGCAAGCGCATGTCTGCTGCTATAATGATAATGACATTGGTGCTAGTGATGGTGGTAATGAGGACACAAGGGGCTGCTCCCCTTCAATCCATTCTCCTCAAAGCGAACTTTCCAAAAATGTGAATTATCAATTTCCCTGCTTAAAACAATGGCTGACTGGGTCCTTCCCAGTCTGACCTGGAGCCACAGTCATATACCTGTGCTCTCTGCACTGTGACTCCCCCGGCCTTCTTTCAGGTCCTTCAGCCACAGGCTCTTGGCACATGCCATTTTCTCTCCCAGAGGCTTTCCCACTTCATATAACATCCCACTTTATATAGCAGATAACTTCTATTCATCTTTCAGATCTTGCCTCAATTGTCACTTCCTCAGAGAAGTCTTCTCTCTGCCCATAGTAATTCCTCAAATATGCCCTTTTCACGGCACTCTGTCTCTTTCCTTCCTTGTACTCATCTGAGTTATAATTTTACACCTGAATGACTTTCTAAACTATTAAGTTTGTCTTCCTCATTATACAAGAAGATCCATGAAGGCCAAACTATGCATGGTGTTGCTTACCCTATGTTCCCAGGGCTCAAGACAGAAAGTCCTCATCAAATATCTATTAACTAGATTATTATATTTTCTTAATATACACCACATTAATAGCAATATCTATTATCATCCAGTTTTTGTCAAAATGACATCATTAAAGGACAAGTAAGCCTTCAAAAAAGATAGGCCTTTATTGTAGCAAAACTGCCTAATGATAACCCTCCCTCAACTGCTATAGCATACTATTACTAGAATCCCAAATAATTAGAATTGCAAACATTTACACAACACTCACTATCTGCCAGTTGTTCACCTTTGCACTTTGCATTATCAACTCTTTCAAGAGTTTTAAGTAGTCTAGGATGGCAATCGGGATTAATGATGGAGAATAGAAATTTTAAAAGAAAAATATACAAATCAGGAGTAACATTCAGGTATAATGTGCCGCCTTCTCACATGTGCTTAGAATCATCCATTGCCACACTAGAAAATATCGATCTGCCTAAGCGGGTGATTTAACTAGGTATCAGTTTACCTAACATCTTCGTAATCATGTTAATTTTGTGGAGCTGCTGAAACTCATAGGTATACATGTACATACGGGATGATGACAATAATATGGAAATCTCCTTCTGTGTCAGTATCACTGAGATGCCAAATCAATAGATATCAGACACTAAAGTGGATCTGTGAGAGAACATCATATACAGAATTTATAAAGAACTCTAACAACTTTTAATCCCCTTGGGGAATTCTATGTCAAATATTAAAGGATCCAGGGAGGGGAAGGATGATTCGTGTGTACTCTGTGGAATGTGATGGACCACACGGTAGGTCCCTGCCCTACAGAAAAGAAAAAGGTGGTGATGGCATGTCAAGGAAACCACACACACAGACAGGCATGCATTTCCTGCAGTTGGGAGGACAGCAGCCTGGTGCCTAACGGTGGCCCAAGCCTGAGAGGTCACGGTAATCCAGAGCGGTAAAGTAGAGGGAGCTGTGTAAGGATCAGCCAACATTCCCAGAACCTAGGGGTGCACAGAAGTTTGAGTGGCACCATGAGCCAGATGAAACACCACAATGGCTCACCCCAGCCTAGGGGAGCTGCAGTGAATGGCCCAGAAGAGGTCCTTCTAATGAACCCAAAAAGGTACTCCCAAGAGAAATTATCAGCTTCAGACATCTACCAAGGTGGGAGAACATAAAGCAGCCATCAATAACAGCAAGTAAGAAAATCCCTGCTTCTCCCTGTCACCTCCTCCTTCTCCATTCACCAGCCTCAGGAAGACTTAAGGTAACAGTAGGTAAGCTCAGGGAAACGGAGCCAGGAAGAGAAAGGACTATGGCCCTGCACCTACTGACAGCATCACAGAAAGAAGAGAGAAGTCCTACTTTTGAATAAGTAGCATGAAGGACTACCAAATGTCTGATTTAAAATGACCATAGGGCTGTGAGGGGAAAAGTAACGTAACCCACCTAGGTTTTCATCCAAAGGCATGAAAAGATTATCATCCCTGAATAAGTTTTAAATGGGTTTGGGGGGGGAGGGGGCAAATCTAAAGACATTCTTATTTCACCACAACCTCTTATTCAACCAACCAATCTGGTATTAGTATGTATGAGTTACTTTAGGGGGTTTGGCACAGCTGGCTTCCTACTCCTGCTGGTTAAGGTAATGCCCCTGTCTCCCCCTGCCCGTCCCTATTTCCCTGAGAGGGGACTTCTATGCGTGGCGCGTCTGCAAGCAGGAATCCATGACACACACACACCCACTCTCTCTTTTCTCTTCCACACTGGTTCAGTGCCACCTGGGGCTAACAGGTTCAGTAATAGGAAGGCCATCTGTCTATTATTGAATTTCTCAGGGAAGATTCTATTTTGGCCTCCAACTGTTACCGCCTTTGTCAAGTTTCTCAATAGTCTGGAATTCAGGCAAGTAGGAAGGGAATTATTTATTGGGCCCCATCTGGATCCTCCAACACACAGAAAATACAGCCGATTCTCATTATTTATGGTAGCTGTGTTCTATAAAGTCACCAGGAACACTGATTTAGTGAATACTGAGACTCCTAGGGGAAATACAGGATTATATTCCTGCAAGCCTCTAGTTATGACATTCCCATCAACCCGACGATAGATAGCCCTGTTTTACATGTTTCTGTTCAAAGACAACTTAATGTCTGTTGTTGATTTATCAACAATGAACTCACAGCCAACAGCACTATAACTCATGACCGAATGAGGCTTTTATCTAACACATGCACTGCCTCCATAAGGTACATCCCAGCCTTCTTGTGCTCAGAAACACCAGACAGCACTTCAGCACTATGCTGAGGGGCCATTTTACATAGCGAAATCACCAAGACAAAGCACAAAAATGCAAAAAACATGGCACTAAACAAATCTCAAAAAGGGCACCAGTTTATAGTACAAGAACTAAGACAAGAAGACAGAGCATCGCCTTGTTTGACTTTAGTTGTGTATCCAGCAACTCAAACTTTCCTCTGCCCTGCATGTGTCAACAAATGATCTCCAAAGTGTTAATATTAATTTGGGGATTATAAATTTTAACAAACAGGTAAATTCACAAATACAGAATCCATAAAAAATGAGGATTAACTGTACATGAATAAATATAATCTCAGAAAGCCACCATCATATGTATAAAATATGATGGATGTAAAAATCAGAGATCACATATCATTTATAACAACAACAACAGCAGCATTTTATACATGCCAGGCACAATGCTAAACACTTCATATTTTTTACCTCATGTAATCCTCACAACAAATGTGTTGCCTACCCCTCTATACAGTGGTGCTTTTGACATTTTAAACCCTTGACCCTTATACTATCTTCTCATACCAGCAGCACGTAAATTTTAAAGAATTTTGCTTTTAATAATTTACATTATTATATTTATTCATTAAGCCTTCTTTTCAAACTCCAGAGATTCCAACAGATCTCACAGAGGGATGGACAATCTCCACTCCACTGAAACTCAATGCTCTAAAATGAACAGACATTTCCTGTCTTCTAAATTTAATTGAAACACCAATTACTTTCAGATTATACAGATGTCCAAAATCACTGATGCTTGAAAAAACAGTGAGAAAAGAATCTTCCCAGTTAGTATATTAATACA